GTTCTGTTCTTCTCCATAGTTGTCCTTCCCCCCACTTTCTGGAGGGTGAATCCAGAGAAGTGATTGGTACTGTGTCATCTCCAATGAGTAACACTGGAGTCCAGTATCACCCTGCAGTAAGAAAAGCTAAAGTGCTCATCTCATGTCTACTGTACCTTGTGAGGGCAGAAAGGTTTGAAAAGATATTTTCACCAGCACCTTGTCCTGAGCATCTTCAGTGGCACAGGCCCCTTTCTAAGGGGAAGGCTGGGCAGGAGGGATCCAGAAGACATGGGTCCTGCCTTCTGGGAATCCCTTATCTCTTGTGAGGCAAGGAGGAAAGCAGGCAGTCTAAAGAGAAAAGGCTAGTTGGGAAGGTCAGCAGGCTGTGAATAGCTGAAGTGAGAGGTGTGAAAGCAGGGTGGTGGGGGCAAGGTGTTGGACTAAAATTTAGCAGCACGCTGAAGGGTGATAGCAGCTTGGAGTTGGGGACAGAGAGGATCAAAATAGGAAGTGTCATAAGGGGAGGTGGCTAGGCCCTGAAAGGTGAAAATGGTTGGAAGGTAAAAGTAAATAAGTGTTACACCATGTTTATGCAAGTCAGAAACCCTCACTTCTCTTTCTAGCCTGGGGAGCCTCCTGCCTCCCTCTCTGGGGTTAGCAAATTTAATGGAATGCTAGGCAAGATAAGGTAGGGAAATACTGTAATTTGCCTAAGGGTCATTACCTTGTAACATTCCTCTATCTCTGCATAGTATCATGGGATTAAAGCTGGAGGGGCCCTTAGAGACCATCTAGACCCTTATTGTGCAGATGAGGAATGAGGCCCAGAAAGGCTAGAGTCCTCTCAATCTCCAGCTCAACCAGATGGGGTCAGGGTGTATCTGAGATCCTGTCCTGGATGGGAGAAGCTGATACCTAATTTTAATATTTAAGAGATAGAGGAACATTAAAGATCGTCTAGTCCAGTCTCCTTTTACAGCTGAGGAAACAGACATCAGGCAGCTTTGTGTGCAAGGTCACAGCAAATGGCAGTGCCAGAATCTGAACCTAGGTTCTCTCACTTCCATTAGGGAGTTCTCAGACTGGTTTTCAGTCCTCTCCAGGAGTGGAATAGTTAGGGCTATGGAAAGTCCAGAGTCGTATAGGGGAACCATGGGGGCTGAGAAGATCAAGGGTTTGTCAAGAGCCAAGGAGAGTGGCCAGAGGAAGAATAGAGAAATGAGGAGAGCTGGGCTGGTTAGGAAATCAGATGCCTGTGGCCGGGGCCCCCTCAGGAAGCTGGTGGTCAAGAGATAATGTGGGTAGCAGAGGTTCATAGAGATGTGGGTGATAATGTGTTGAAAGGAGCTAGTGGAGGCAGGGTATTCAGAATTATAAATTGACAATAAGTACTGTCAGGTAGGTAGGAGGATTCCTCCCTCATACTGGTGCTCTTCAAGCAAAGGCTGAGTGACTTTGGGTATGTCATAGAACAGGTTCTCATGCCCAGCCAGGCCTCAGAGGGCCCTTCCTAATCAGAGATCATGTCCTTGTTCCTTCAGTCATCTCTCCCACACACAAGCTGGAATCTCATTCTTGATTAAGTGATAAAAATAGTCTTGAGTGATGTTTAAATAGTTCTGTGCTGGGTGCTGTGAAGTACAAGAATGGTTGGGAAGTGATTCCTGTAGTCCAACCTCAAGTCCTACTTTAGCAGCAGGTTTGTAGGAAAAACCCTATTGTGCATTCCTTTACTGAAGCCTAGGTAGATTTGGAGATGGACCCAAGAGGGGAAAGATTTTAAACCATCATGAGACATCACTAAATCAGTCTATTTCCCTGACTCCTTTTGGGGATGAAACTAGTCCAGAAGGTCTCTCCTGTTAGGAAGGGCCCAGATTTAGTCAGGTGCTCCCCTCTGCTTCTGTCCTAGGCACATATGCACATGCACGCACACGCGAGCGCACCCTTGGCAGAATGGAGAGGGAGGAAGGGCTGGCTATGTTGCCTGTGGGCATAGGGCCCAGGCTATGTGTAGAGCCAGGCAGCAGTGATCTGCCTGCTAATGGGGATGTACAGATTGACAGCCCTGGGGAACTGCGGTCCCCCACTGACTGAGCCTTCCAATTGGCTGTATTACCATCTCCTTTCTGCCTCCCTCAACTCCTAGTCCCATAACACCATGTCCCACCAAGGCAGCACAAGGCAGGAATTGTTCCTCCTTTGTCTCTCTTCCCATTCTACCCCCCACCCCCACCCCCAAGATCCTGCCTCCTAGCCCAGACCTCTGGTACCAGTAGGGAGATTTGCCAGCCTTGCCCAGCCTCTAGGGCCTAAGAAAAGGAAGGCAAGCCATGGATTGAGGTTTCCCTGACCACAGCCTCAGTGGGGATCCTATCATCCTGGTGGAACAGGACATCAACCTCAGAGACCTCCCAGATCAGGCCCTTTACATCAGATATACCATCTTCTGGGTAAGAAAAGGCTTATATTTTCATGAGATAGGGACTTTGTCCTGGGCTCTGATGTGATCTAATCAGCTATCCCCCCCACCTCCAGGGTACCTCTTACTCCTCCTTCCCCTTTCTGGGGATAATGAAGCTCAGAGTTCCAGGTGTCCGCTGACTCTGGTCATGCCCCTCTGACTCTAAGCCTCCTTCCCCAGCTCATACCCACCCCCAACACACCCATACCGCACCCCAGTCCTCCCAGGACTTAGTCATATCCCTGGAGATAGTATATAAGTCCCCCCCCAGCTGTCATCTCCATGGTGACTTTGTCTCCTCCTACACCCACCCCAATCTGCTAAGATCTCTAAGCACTACTAGTAACTTCCACTTATGGGACAGAATGATTATAGGATTAAGAACTCTCTGCCTGTACGATTTGGGGGTGTGGAGGGAGAGAATTAAGACCTAGGCATTCTGTACCTTTCACTCATCATTTGCACCCAAGTTCTTCCCTGAGGAAAGAACTGTGCCTGGCTCCCCAGTTCTAACCCTTCCCCTACCTACTCACACTCTCCATTATATTCCATAGCTTGGCTGGGTGGACAGACCCCTAGGTCCTATCCCCATCTTCTCTCTGTGCCCTTTGGGCATCTCAGTGATGCACCACATGATGCAGTCCTAAAGGAGCCTTAGAGGTCCATTAGGCTGAGAGGAGTGGAGAGAGGTATAAGGGGATTGGGTGTCTGACTCCCCTGGGATTTTCCTGGAGGAGATGAGAAGCACTGAGTGGGGAGAACATTAGCAATGAGGGAGAGGAGAGTGAGGATGGGCAGTGGGAGACCATGGAGAAGGCAGAAAGACCAAGAGAGGCAAACACTGTCATACAGGGAAGGGAAGCAAGGAGTTAAAAGGGTGACAGACATACCAACGGAGACAGACAGGGAGGATCGAACCCCCAGGCCAGTAAATTGAAGGGGGGTTGGCAAACAAGGAATAGAACTGGGAAGTTTTATGTGCTGGGGCTGGGCTAGGGCTGGGTTGGGCTGGGTTGGACGGGGCTGGGCTACACTTGGACTGGGGGGAGTGACATCTCTCCTCCCTTGGGGGCGGTTCCTGCCCAGCCTGGCCCTGCCCCTCCACTTGTGCCAAGGAATGTGCCTGAGAAAGGAGGCTAGAGCAGCGGGTGGGGGAGCCTGGGACAGAGCTGGGCCCAGACGGGGGCCACGGAGCCTGGAGAGACAGCTTCACAGGTCTGGGGGAGCCTAGAGGGAAAGGGGAGGACAAAAGATCCAGAAGAGATTGGGACCCAGTATGGAACTCCCCCAGGCCCCTCCTCTTCCCAAAGGAGACCCAGACATCTAGCATCCTAGGGTCCTCCCCATCCTGGAGGGGACCTAAACATTCTGCACCCCCCTCCTCCCCAGGCCTTCTCTCATCCAGGTATCTGGGTCCTAACCCATTTCCCATCCCAGACTGGACTTAATTGTTCTTTCTTCCAAGACTCCTCCCCATTCCAGAGAGGACCCAAGTGTTCTGCCCCTGGGTTCCCAGCTCCAGGCCTACTTTCTGACTCCTAGGTTCCTCTTTTCCCCTGTGAGATGTTTTCTGGGTTCAGCCTGGGCTTGGGCATACTGCCTGTTGAATGTCTTCTCTGGGTGGGGCAGCATAAGGTAGGGCCAGATGAGGCCTGAACACCTGGCTCTGGTGCCTGAAACAGACTTGGTGGGGAGAGGGGAGACAACCAGGCAACCAGTCCCCTGTGGCTGCCCAGTCCCTCTCAATGGGGTACTTGGTCCATAATAGACAAAGGAGGATTGAATGAAGTAAGTGGTCACAGTGGAATGAGCACTGCCCAGGGCCAAGTAGACGAGATAGTCACCCTATCCTGACACCAGGCACATAGGGGAGGTGATTGGGGTCAAAGAACCAAACTTCTGGGTCTTCTCTAGGAAAGGGGGATTGCAGAGGTCTGGGAGCCTAGGGTCCCTCTGGCTGCGGGAAAAGAAATCAGAAAGTTTCTCTGGAAAAGGAAAGGAGTGGGGAGGGGTCAGGGGTCTAGACGTTTGAGCCCTCTCTGTGAAAGGGATGAAGGGGTTTGGGAGCTACAATCCTGGGCAAAGAGGTTATATTTAGGGTAGGCGATAGAAGCTGGGGAGGGGGAAGGAAGACACCGTGTTATGTTAGACAATTGTTAGGTGGGGGGTAGGTTGCGCTTCTTCCCAAATTGAAAGGAAGTTAAGCCTGGCTTCCCACAGCCCTACAGGAAACCAGGGCAGGAAAGGGGCCCCTGACTCCCCTCAGCACACCTCTGCCTGAATACACACAACCATAAAATCCCTGTTCCAGGCAAAGTGTCTCCACAGCCTGTCTCAGAAGACTCCCAGGGGAGGGAGAAGCCCATTTGGCAGTCTGGGTGCCTAGTACCCACCTGACCACAGCTCAGGGCCTGGATAACGGCAGTGGGTTGGTGGGACTTGGGGCCAGGCTGGCTGTTATGGGTGAGGATGTTTTTTTGCTTTTGTTTTCCTTTTTCCATGTCTCTAGGACTCCAGGGTCCATTGACTGTGGCTGAGGCAGGGAGGGGGGGCAGCCCCTCTGCTGGGGGCACCCCCCCGACTAATTCACCATGCTGAGCATCAAGTTACCACAGCTGCTCCGGGTTCATCAGGTCCCTCGGGTAAGAGAGGGGTCCCCTCCAGTCCATCCCCCGCCACTTTCACAACCTGCCTCTCTCCTCTACCCTGTCCTCTCAAGCTAAACTAGGGTGAGAATTGTCTCTTTCCAGAGAGAATTTTACTTCTCCATTCTTTCATCTTCCTCTTCCTGAGCCTTGGGAAGTCCCTCAGGCAGCCCATCCCTCCATCATCCTGTCATGGTGTCAGCCCTTCCTGATGTCATCCTTGAAGAAGTGACAATGACAGTTTTATGGGTTTATATTTATATGGCCATGTAAAGTAGAAAAAGTACTTTCCTCCCAGCCCTGTAAAATATATAGTGTAGCCCCATTTTATCTGTGAAGAAACCAAAGCTCAGAAACTTTAAGTGATTTGTCTGACTTAGAGGACGTTCGGCATTTATGAAGTGCCTACTGTGGGAGAGGCACTGTTGACCTGAAGAAAGGGTAAGGACAGCCCCTGCCCAAGACCTGCTCACAGTCTAATGGGGCACATGACAGAGAGATAAAGGGGACAGGCTATGGAGGGAAGGCACTGGAATGAAGAGGGATCCAGGTGGGCTTCCTCCAAAGGTGGGATTTTAGCTGGGACTAGAAGGAAGCCACAAAAGGCAAGAGGGCAGAGCATTCCCCTCAGGGGGGCCGGTATCAGAGTTGGGTCTTCTTGTTTTGACCACTGTATCAGTCTTAGTAATAACAGTAATAGCTGTCATTTAACATAGTAACAATATTTCATTTGGACATGAGAGGCAGCTTGGGATGGTAACAAAACTAGGAAGACCTGGGTTCTAGTGCTCCCACTGCCAAATACTGACGGTGTGGCAAGGTACCTAAGTTCTCCGTGTTCTAGGCCAATGGGGTCAAATGCTAATAGAAACAGGTGGGAGCAACTGAACAACAAGGATTCCTGCAAGTCACACATTGACTTAGAAAACCACACATCAACGTTATCTATGTTTTATTGTATTTTCATTTTGTTAAATATTTCCCAAGTACAGGGGGCACCAGGCAACTTTCCAAAACGAAGTGATTCTAGATTATAGAGAAGGTGCAGACCTGTATTAATAGAGGGAATTTCTCACCTTGACTTGCTTTATACTAATGAAATGCCAAGTCAGGTCTCTATCCCTGTCTCATTTGAAGAGCACCATACTCCAGAGTCTGGGCTCTTGACTTCTTCCCTAGGTCTTCTGGGAAGATGGAATCATCTCAGGTTATCGCCACCCCACCAGCTCTGCCCTGGACTGTGTGCTCAGCTCCTTCCAGATGACAAATGAGACTGTCAACATATGGACCCACTTCCTGCCTACCTGGTGACATGGAGGGGTCATGGGGTGGAGGGGATAGCAGGAGGAGAGGAGAAAGGAGAGGTGGGGAAGGAAGAGGAAAAGGAGGAAGAGTGAAGAGAGGTGGGCAACAGGGATATGGAAGGCAGGTCCCTGGGTGGGATTTAAAGGGTCAGTGGGTGTGTGGTCTAGATCTACCTTCCCTCGGAAGGCAAAGACCGACCAGAGACCAAGGCCGGTATATCTAACAATCATATTTCAAAGCACTTTCCTCATCGCATTTGTGGGAGGCCGACCAGCAATCTAGATATCATGATCTCCCTTTAATAGATGGGGAAATTGAGCCTCAGAGAGGTTAAGTGATATACAAGGTCTTAGGATGTTGAACTGGGACCATAGAACCCTCTCTCTCCTTCTACAGTTGAGGAAATGGAAAACCAAGAGAAGTTCAATAATTTGCCCATTAACACAGATAGGAAGCCGCTGCATTTGAACCTAGGACAACTAACTCTTAAAATCTAGTGGTCTTACCCAGCACTATTTGGTAGCAAGGGCCATGGCCCCCAAACCCAATCACAGGATTCACAGATGTAATAGAACTTTGAGTTTAGGGGTGAAAGGCTCATGTCTGTGGAACATTGTGACACTGGGGTCTGGGGCATCCTTAGGGTCATGTGATTATAGATTTGGAGCTGAAGGAGACCTCGGAGGCCATCTAGATAAGGAAACTGAGGCCCAGAGAGTGACACAGAGAATAAGCAATTGGCTTGGGGCTTGAAGCCAGGTTCTCTGATTATTAATCCAGTGTCCCCTGTACTATGACACCTCCCTCCCATGCTATCTCTCTCTAAGGACTTGACTCCCCTTGAGGAGATGCAGTGTCCCTGGGTCAGCAGCTAGGCGCATCTTCTCAGGGTGGGCTGCCGCCTTGAGTGTGGTGCAGTGATAGGAGGCCTGGTTTGAGAGCCAAGAAACTTGGATTCTCATCCTGGCTCTGTCTTGAACAAGTTTTTGGACCTCAGTTTTCTGAGTTATAAAACTAAAATATACTCACCACTCTAAGGTTCCCTCCAGCTCTTAAAGGCTAGGATACTATAACCTCTAAAACTGGGGAGGAAAGATATCTTGAGGTTGCATCTGGCTCTGCCCTCCGTATTCCCTGGTTCTAGGTATTTCCTGTGGCGGCTCCTGGCCCTGGCGGAGGGTCCTGGCTTCTGGTCAGAGCCGTACCACTGGCCGTTGCTAGTGTATCTGCTGCTCATCTGCCTGTATCCGTTCACATCCTGCTGTGCCCACACCTTCAGTTCCATGTCACCCCGAGCCCGCCACATCTGTTACTTCCTGGACTATGGTGCCCTCAGCCTCTATAGCCTCGGTGAGCCCAGGGACCTTCCGTCCTGACATTGAGCTTTTCTCTGTGGGACTCTGGCATGAGGCCTCCCTTCCTTGCCCCTGTCCTGGCTCCCTAGAATTTCAGGGGCCAGCTCTCTATACCCACTCTTTTTTTTTTAAACCAAGAACCCAGGCTTTCTTCTACTAGCTTTTAACCCAAGCCAATGCCCAGGGGCCCTGGCATCCCCACTGGGAGCCCCAGGGAACACCAGGAACAAGAATTACAGGCCACCCCTATGTTCCCCCAGGCTGTGCACTCACCTATGGAGCTTATGCCATGCCTTCCTCCTGGCTCAACAGCCCCCTGCACCAGCTATTCGTGCCCACAGCCGCAGTCAACTCTCTCCTCTGCACCTGCCTTTCCTGTTATTCGAGGTACCTGCCGCCTCAGATGCGGCTGCACTCACTGAAGCCTCCTTCCTATCCCATCATGCCCCATGTCCATCTACTCAGCACAGAGAACAAGGGTTCAGACTCCCCTTTGTGTGGGACTTGGAGGATGACTCTCTGACCTTCCCCCTTTCAGGTTTCTAGAACTGGAGAACTCACGGCTCAGTAAAGTCTTACGCACGGTTGCCTTTGCCTACCCGTTCTTCTTTGACAACCTCCCACTTTTTTATCGGGTAAAGGTCAGGGATAGCCCCAAACCCAACCCCTGGTATCACAGCCTCAGCTCCTCACCCAGTGGTCCAGAATCCTTTCCTTCCCTCCATTCACCCTGGGCCCAATCCTGAGAAACTGAGGCACCTTAACTTCCTCCCTGTGACCCAGACTCCTAATTCCCAGTCCCAGCCTTGACCTAGAACCCCCAGCTCTAGACCTAGGACCCAGGCATCCCATGTCCAGGGGATCCATGTATCTCAGTCCCCCAGGCCCAGTACCCAGAGGTCCAAGTGTGAAGTCATGAGCCCAAGTCCTAGACACTCTCACCCAGTGTGTCCTTTCCTTTCTGCCCCCTCCCACATCTCCCCAGCTCCTGCTGTGTTCCAGTGGGGGCTTCAGCTGTGGGCAGGAAGCTCTGAGTGCCAACCACAGCTACCACCTGCTCTGTGCCCTGCTCACTGGTTTCCTCTTTGCCTCCCACCTCCCTGAACGTCTGGCACCTGGCCGCTTCGACTATATTGGTGAGGGCGAGGCCTATCCTGGGAGTATGGGGGAGACAACTCCTGGGTTTCTTAAAAGGCAAAACAGGAGGAAATGTGGTCTAGGAGAGATAAAGAATACAGCAGGAGGAACCTCCCAATGTAGGCTATGGTCTGAAGGTTTGTTTATAATTTGGCTGGTTGGAAAACACTTTTTCTGCTAAAAACAATGTTATAAACACCAAAGCCAATAATGTAGATAATTAGATAACAAGTGCTTATGTTTATAAAGTCCTTTACAAAACAGCTTCCTGACAACATTCCTAAGGAAACTGAGGCTCAGAGGAATGACTTGCTCAAGGTCACACAGCTGTCAGTAAGAAGTCAAACCCAGCTCATCTTACTACAGACTCAGTACTCTTCTTTCCTTTTTCTTTCTTCCGTTCTTTTTTCTTCCCTCCCTCCTTTCTTTCTCCTTTCTTCCTTTCTTTCCTTTCCTTCCCCCAGTACTTCCCCCGCACACACTGTGATACCTCCATTTGTAAGGATCTGAGTTTGGGGCCAGGACACTGGACACTATGCCCTGTCTACCCCTCCTAGGGAGGAGGAGAAGGAAGAATGTTTCTTCCCTATTTCATCTCCAGATAGAAAGTCTGATAGCCTTCCATCTCCGTTTCTGTGTCCCTCTTTCCAGCAACTCCATCTATTAAGCCCCTCATTTGGCCAGCTCACCCCCAAAATGCTTCCCAGTGTCACCATCATATGATGGCTGGTAAGACAGTGCTTTCTTTGTGAACCTTGCAGTGTCATAGAAATATGAGTTACTATACTTCAAGCCTCTAATGGGTCCATGATCTTAGTGATCCAGGCATTCCCTCCACTTGTGCAGATTGCAACCCCTCCATGCTTTCTCATCATTTGCAGTTCTTGTCCTTGTCCCTCAGAGGAGGTGGGTCAGTCAAATGAACATGTATTAAGTGCCTACTACGTGCCAGGCACTGTGCAAAATACTGGCGATACGAGGAAGGGCACCACCTTCCCTCCAGGAGCTCATATCTAATAGGAGGGCCAATATGCAAACCAGTATGTACAGACAATGTGTAGACAGAATAAAAAAAAATACTCAACAGAGGAAAGGCATTAGAATCAAAAGGGATTAGGAACTGCTTCCCTGCTTCGCTGGATTTTAGTTGGGACTTGAAGGAAGACAGAAGGTAGAGAAGAAGAGGGAGGGAGTATTCCAGACATGGAGGACAGGCAGTGATGCCCTGAGTTGGGAGAGGGGGGCATCTTGTTCAAAGAACAGCCAGGAGGCCAGTGTCACTAGATCCAAGAGGAGGTGGGGCATGGCAGATGGTGAGAACGGGATAGAAGGTGAAGACTGCAAAGGTGAAGGGGACAGATTAGGAAGAGCTTTCACCACCAAACAATATTTTATATTTTTATATATGTATATATGTAAAAGTCCTTTATATATGTATATATATATATGTATACATATATTATATATATATGTATATGTATATATATATATGTATACATATATTATATATATATGTAAAGGACTTTATATATGTGTGTGTGTGTGTGTGTGTGTGTGTGTGTGTGTGTATTTATAGCCGATAGGGAGCCACTGGGGTTTATTGGGTAGGGGAGGGAACGTGGTCAGACCTAATGGAGGATGGATTGGAGTGGGGAGAGACTTGGGGTAGGCGGAGCCACCATTGCAGTAATCCAGGTGTGAGGTGATGAGAGTAGTACCAGAGGAGAGAAGGGGCCAGTATGAGAGATGTTGCACAAGTGAAATCAATAGGCTGTGGCAATAGATTGGATATAGGGTGGGGAAGAGGTGAGAGAGGATAAGAAATCCCAAGGTTTTGGGCCTGGGGGACTGGCAGGATGCTGGTGCACCCAGACTAATAAGGAAGTTTGGAAGGCAGGAAGGTATGGAAGGAAAGATAATGAATTCAGTTTTGGAAATGTTGAGTTTAAGATGTCTATGAAAGATCCAGTTGGAGTAGGTGGCTGGAGATGCAAGACTGGAAGTTAGCCAAGAGGTTAAGGATGATTAAGTAGATTTTAACATAAAGATGATAATTGAATTTGTGAGAGCTGATGAGATCACTAAATGAAATTATACAGGAAAAGGCAGCCCAGGACAGAGCCCTGTGGGATGCCCCATTAGTGTTCATGACATGGATGAAGATCCAGCTATGGAGACTAAGAAGTGGTCAGATAGGTAAGAGAAGAATCAGGAGAAGGCAGAGTCCTGAAAACCTAGAGAGAAGAGGTTGCAGAGAGGTCAAGAAAGATAAGGATTGGGGCAGCTAGGTGGTGCGGTGGATAGAGCACTGGCCCTGGATTCAGTAGGACCTGAGCTCAGATCTGGTCTCAGACACATAACCCTTGCTAGCTGTGTGACCCTGGGCAAGTCACTTAACCCCGTTGCCTAGCCAAAAAAAAAGAAAAAGAAAGAAAGACAAGGATTGAGAAAAGGCCATAGCATTTGGCAATTAAAAGATCATTGGTAACTTTGGAGAGGGCAGTTTTGATTGAAGCCAGTCTGTTGGGGGGCTCAGAAGCGAGTGAGAGGGTCCACTCAACCATTTAGAGGGCTCCCTCGAAATCTTTAAAAATTCTGTGGATATCAGTGGACACATGAACTGTCCATCTGTTATCTCTTGCTATCACTACCTGACCAGCCCACATCTTCATCCACTGTACATATCCTTGATAATGAAGATATTATGACCCTCCAAGATTACCTCTTTCACCTAATTAAAGCTACATTTCCTTAGTATCCCAGTAATAGCAGTAACTCCCATGGCCCTTTAAAGCATTTTCCCTACCACCCAGGATTAAGTGGTATCCCCTTCACATACCCAGAGAGGAGGTTTGTTAATCCTGACAAGCCTGAAATTAGTTAATGCTAGGTGGGGTCACAAAGTGTAATTAAGATATAAACCACTAGGGGAAAGGTATTTGGGTGTCAGAGCACCAGCACCCTGGCAAGACTGTCCAGGCCAGGGGTCTGCCCTTGGGGTCAGCACCCTGAAGCTGTTCCTGCTTTTCCCAGCAAGCAGGAACCCACAGTTCTCTAAAAGCTAGGAGTTTGTTTTATTTTTTAAAAAATTCCCCCCCAACAAGCTCTCCCACTGTAGAAGCAGCCAGAGGCTAAGCAGATGCATGTGTGAGTCGTGTTTGTTTATAGGTTGGAGACTGCCTATATGTTCATAAAGTGCCATTGCTGAAAGTTGAGATTAAAGATGTAGACGTTTATGTTAGGGGCAGTGAGGTGGCGCAGTGGATAGAGCACCGGCCCTAGAGTCAGAAGGACCTGAGTTCAAATCCAGTCTCAGACCAGACACTTGACACGTACTAGCTGTGTGACCCTGGGCAAGTCACTTAACCCCATTTGCCTCACCAGAAAAAAAGATGTTTATGTTAGATGTTCATCTAGCCTGAACCCTCATTTTGTACAAGGAAAATTGAGGCGCAGAGAGACTAATCATGGATACCCACAGGGGAAAGGAATTTTAAGAAAATTGGGAGAAGGGAAAGGACCAGAGGTACGCATGGACCCCTAATGCTCTTCTCTTCTCCCACAGGCCACAGTCACCAGCTGTTCCACATCTGTGCAGTGCTTGGCACTCATTTCCAATTGGAGGCAGTGCTAGCTGATATGGGGGCACGGCGGGACTGGCTGGCAGCCCATAGCCCTCCCTCATCCCTGGCAGCCACAGTGGCCACCATGGGCCTTGCTGTGACTGGGAACCTGCTCATTATTGCCATCTTCACAGCAACCCTGCTTCGTGCCCCCCAAGCCTGCCTCCTACTGCAAGAGACCCAGCCTGAGTCAGTAGGCAGGGCCAAGGGGGAATAAGAAGAGGAGGAGCCCCAGAAGGCTACTTCTCCCCAGAGACCACACCATCTAACTCCCCACATTCTGGCTCAATCTGCTACCACCCTTCTCTCCTATAGTGTTTTCATCTCTAGGAGAGAAATAGATCAGGGACCTAGGTATCCAGATCCCCAGGCCCTGGCTCAGCCCTGGGAGGCTGAGGGCAGAAAGTCCTGAGCCTGTAAGAAAGAGAGGCAAGGAGAGGAGAGGAAAGGTAGAAGAGGAAATGGGGATTGGGAGAGGGCAGAGTGACTGGGATGAAAGGGCAGGGGAGGAGAGGGAGTAGGAGACTGTTGTTTTGGGTGGAGGTAGGTGCTAAGGGTGAGAGATGGGACAGCTAGTGGAGGAAGGCCTGGGGATCTCTCAGGTCCCCAGAGTGTGTCCAGGCTCAGGGGGATGGGAAGGATCCTTGAAGGGTTCAAACTGAATTTGGTTGTGAGCTGAAGAGAGTAGTTGCCGGGGTCTCAGGACCACAGATTGGGCCAGAGTAAGCTGTTAGGGATATTAGAAGTTCTAATAGGGGCTACATCTATTAGGTTATTATCTGGGCCTAGGTTAGAACAATATAGGGAAAGTGTTACAGACACAACAGAGCAATATTAGGTGTCACATATTAAGGTGCCTTACTGGGATCCCTATTCAGGGTCATGCAGAGAATCTGGATCAGTCTTTGGGGAAATAACTCTCTTTAGGGACCTTTGGAGTGCAGTGCTCAATGATCTCCTCTGCCTGAGGAAACTAATGCCATTAATTTAGACTTCACCAAAGGGGCCATGCTTTAACCCCGACTTTTGGGACCAAACTCAAGAGGGGAGGACACAAAACACCTGCCTCACCTGGCGCTCTGGCATGCCAAAATGACCAGAATGTCGTCATCTCCAAGCCAAGAAGAGAGGTGAAAGGGATAAAGGAACTGATTGATTCCTGGGAGAAACTGGATTGAAACAGTTATAGCCCTCTTGGTGTGGGTATCTGCTTTACTAGCACCTACTTGCCAATAAAAGATTTTCTCTCCCTCAGATGCAGCCTGTGGTGGTCTGTGGAGCTGAGAAGCCCCTTTCATAGCCCTATGGACAGGGCACACCTTTCCAAGTCTGAGTATATGACCAGAGATGTGTGGTCTGCTCAGCTATGGGAAGCATCCGGAGGAGGGAGGCGGTGTGGAACAAAGGACCACACACACAAAAAGGGACCAAGCTCAAAGGGGCAGACTGGAGTCAGACCTTAGGAATCCTTTTCTTGGAGGGAGGGTGTGAGAGACTTGGACTGGGCAGGAAGGCTCCTTCCTCTCTTGGGGGTAGAGGATGGGGCAAGTCCAGGTTCGCCCAGAGTCAGAGGCATAGCTCAGAAAGTTCTGCATTTTCCCCAACCCAAAGACAGACACACACACAGAACGGAGACAGAATGCTAGACCAGCTGACTCCTCTTCCCCTCGTGTTTATTTCTGAAAAAGCCAGAAGGTAGGAACTTTGGGGTGGGCCATGTACTGGGTGTGCTAATGGGGGGAGCTCCAGGGAACAGCTGGGTAACTTGAGGCCAAAGAAGTGGGCCGGGTGTTTCAGAATGAAGGGTGGAGCCAGGACGTCCAGGCGGCACGGGGAGCACATCTGAGGGAGGGAGTAGGTGTCCTGGGCTCTAGGCTGTCCCGTAGAATCGTCGATATGCCTCGCTGAAGCCAATGTGGTCAGCTAGCTCATCACAGTCAGGGTTAAGCTCACACACCTCCCGTTTCTGCTCCAAGGGGTCAAGGTAGGGAGCAGGAAACCTAGGGGAGAGGCCTACATTAGTCTAGTCTTCCCCCTGCCCTCTAACAGAGCAAGCCTTCCCCAGCCTTGAGAGTTTTATGAAGGTCTGACCTCCATCCCTTCCACTTGAGGGCTTGCTCAAAGAGTCCAAAGATGGGCAAATGGAATGGGGAAGGGCCTTTCTCTAGGGTCTCTCTCATTGCTTTGGGCACGTCATGGCAAACAGGTTGCCCAACACAAAGCCAGAGAGAATGAACTGACTCGATAACCTCACAGGCTCTACAAGGTCTCCCCTCATCTTGCCTAGTCCCTAGAAGGCTGAGCGAAGCAGCCCCTCTTCCCCGGCTTGTCAAACACTCACCCTTGCCAGTGGTACAGGTAGCGTTTGGGTCTCCTCACCAGCTCACTGCTCTCACGCTTGGAGGCAAAGGCTGGGGAGCAGGAGAGAGGTCAGTGGCTGGCCATCTCTACCACACCAGCCCAGAGGAAGGGAACCAATGTCTGCAGCAGACTCCCTCTCCTCAACCCAGTCAAGTAGAAGGCTGAGAATGGAGGCTCCCAGCTGAGCCTCAGAGCAGTCTGCCTAAAGGTGGGACAGGAGGACAGGAGGCGGGACAGCAGCAGGAGTTGGGGGGCCTTGAGGGAGGCAGACGTAAGGGGCACATGGGAGAGAGACAGAGGTGCTCAGGAACCTTAACATTTCATCACAAAATGAGTGTGCAAATGAAACAACACATTATGAAAATCAGCCCCCTTTCCGAAGTCCCCAGTACTTACCTGTTCTTTTGCCAGAGTCTTGGGGACCTGCGTGAGCATCTAAAAAATAAGGAATCATCCTAAGCATTTTTCTTGTATGACCCCTTTCATTCTTTCACTTTGGTTGTTCCTTTTTCTACACAGAACAGAGAGAAAACTGGGACTGCATTAGGAGGCATGAGGTGAGCTAAAAAATGGAATAAGCATTTTCTCCTTGGAAATATATTTTTTAATTTAAAATTTTTTTTTAATGTTTTTTCTCTCCTTGGAAATCTTGAGGAAAAAGGTATGGACACCAGTCCATATTGGTGAGTGGTTGACCAGCCTAGAGGCAAGGGAAGGGACAGGAAGGTGACCCAAGGGACTATCTCAACTCACCAATGTTCTCACCCTATCCTCCAATCCCTAGAAGGCGATGCTGGTGGAAAAAGAAAGTATCCAAGATAGGTTGAAGCACTGGGAAGAACTGAAGACTGGACTGAGGGTGAGGCACAGGTGCTGGAGCTGAGGACCCCTGCTCCTTCCACAAAGGACCATTTCCTGCCTTGGACCCACACTCACCTTGCTTGCAGAGGCAGAGGGTGGCCAGGGTCAGCAAGGAGAGAAGTAGGACTATCTTCATGATGCAGCTCTGTCCAGCAGAAGGTCAAGTTCAGTTCAGTCCACACTGGTCCTGTCTCTTTACACCCTTTTCCAGGGCATCATTTATACCCTCTGAGCTTCCTGGCCCCTGAGGGGAGGGGCATACCCCTGGCTGACCACAGATGGGTGGGCCTGAGGTAAACCTTGCCAGCTCTATTTGAAAGCTATCCGGCTTGGGATTGACAGGCCTAAACCTCAAAGGATGTTGTGGTTTGGGAGACATCAACAAGTGTTCAAGGGATGGGAGGATGAGGACCTGGAGACTTCAATGGGTACAGCTGTGCTCTCGGCCACAGGGGCCCCTTTTTCCTACCATGCCCAATCTGAGCTGTCCATGCTGAAGCCCAGTAGTTTTACACACAGACTAGTGCTGAAACAGAGTTAGGATGAGGAAGGAGCTAAGCAACCATGCAACCAAGCCCCCAGCCATTCCCTCTCTTCTCCAGTGTCCCCACTTGGCTATATTCTCTCCACCATGTTCCCCTTCTCCCTTAAGTCCTCCTCCCTGTCCCTAAGTGTAGTGGAAGCTTAAATAGGCATAATGGGAAGCCAGGGAGGAAGAAGGGAATTCAGGATGATGGGTTTTAAGTAGGTCAATGAGCAGAGTTCAGCTCGGTTTCCTCTCCTAGCCTATGATTTCCACGAATCTGATCCTAGTGGCTCAGGCCCTATGAGAAGATGCCAAACCCCAGAGAAAGAACACCAGGCAATGCCCCTGATTACCCGGGTTCTGTGACCCCTTTGTTTGCCAAAAGTCAGGGTATGATTTATGAGCAAATAAGAGTCTGACTGAGACTCTGAGTGGAGGCTTGAGCTGGACTCCCCGGGGCTTAGGAGACGAAGAGTTGGATGAAGGGCTTGGGGAGAATAATGGGAGAAAAGAATGTTAAGGTTCAAATGAGGACAGAGGGTGGGACACAGTATGTTAGGTTCCGAGAGTCTTGAAAAGGACTCTAAAAATGGGACTGCTGAGTACCACCTCCATAGACGGCAGCATTGGAGGGCACTTACGTTGTCACAAGAAGAGTGGAAGGTGGATATCAAGAAGGACTTCCTGGTGTTGGAATCTCTTTCCTTGGAGACCTGTCTGTGTGGGATGGAAGTGGAGAAGGCAGGAGGATGCATAATCTCAGGTGCTGCTGGGAAGCTCTGATTCCAATCCTGCTCTTTACTACATCGGGATCTACGTACTCACAGAATCCCAGAGTTGGAAGAGATCACCAATGCCCAAACAAGAATCAATCCCCTCTGGGACATATCTGCCAAGCGGTCTTCCAGCGTTTGCTCAAAGACCTCTGGTGCGGGCGAAACCACTACCTCCTGAAGCAGTCCATGCCATTTTAAGATAGCTTGAATGGTTAGGAAGTTTTCCTCTACATTTCACCTAAATATGCCTCTCTAAAACTTCTACCCATCACTCCTGGTTCTGGTTTCTGACTTCCGGAGTCAAATGAAACAAACCTAATCCTTCTACATGAGTTTTCTCAAGATGAGACACCCCCACTTCCTTCGACAACTTCTCCTGTGGCATGATCTCCACTTTATTAATATTCTTCCTGAAATGTGGTACCTAGAACTATCCTGGATATACAAAATGTCTTCCCCTTAAGTTTCATGAAGATGGATCCTCAAAAACGTTCTGTCCCAAAATGCCTTCTTTTCCCTCCTGACATAGGCCTAGTCTGAAAGGCAGAAAGAGAGAGGCCACATGGGTCCCCTCTGTCTGGACTGTGAACTAATCAACCCTAGAGGGAGGTGGGACAGACAGTCTGGCTGACTTACCAAGTAAACAAACACATTTTCTCCTTGGGCAGCCTGGACTGTAGGGGACTGGGATCAAAGGAGTAGGTAAGAAGCTGGCCGTTGATGGAGTTTAACTCCAATCCAATCCTAATTTTCCTAGTAACTATGAGAAATAAAATCATCATTATGTGGCTTATTCTGTGAAGTCCTTCCTGTAATCTAAGCCTTCTCTCTAACTTAGCATTCTTTCTATACCTGTCTCATTCCCTACTAAACTGTAAGCTACTTAGAGGGACTGTCTTGTTTTTTGTGTGTAGGGTACATTTAATAAACATGTAAATTAATCTATTCTCCTGCCACCTTGCTGTCCCTATTGATTCTTACTCTGGGAAGTGACAGTGAGTAGGAATTAAAATAAGGGAGGGAGACACCTTTTAGAGAGTATCAACTTATTTTTATCTGCATGCACAAGGAAGACTACAACAAGATATGTAAGTTATATAGATGTATTCTCAATCAGCCCAGACATAAAACAAGAAAGGTAGTGTGAGGGTTAAGGTTAGACAAAATGACAAAATTATTTGCCTATAGTCATTGAGATAGAGCTGGGGGTTGAGGAAATCCCAGATGTTCTCCCATCAGGGCTAGAGTTAAGCTCCATCTTATCTCCCAGACATAGAGGCTCTAGATTCTATAAACCGGGAAAACTGATTGGAGCCAGACTGTCCTACTTGCAAAAGGAACTCAAGGTCCTGGATCCAAATGCTCCATGTTAGCCTGGGGACCAGCATAAGGACAGCAAATTGGGGACAGCTGAGGCCAACAGGGACAAACATCTTGGGAGTGGAGAGATGACAGTGTAGTGTAGGAAGTTTATTTACAGATGTGGGGAGAACATGACAGGGCATCAGCTTGGCCAGCAAGGCAGCAATCAGTGGAGACTGGAAACAGATTCCATGATTAGAGGATTCAAGAACTCTGTGGCTGGAGCAGTCTGGACTGAGAGGGATGTGAGGAGGGGGAGAAACTGTGCTGAGCTCAGTAGAGAAAGAGATACTAAAATCCAGCCCAAGATGAGCGAAAACCTATGGCCCATCTTACTCCAAAGTAGTAGGAAACAGAAGGAAATCACAAGTGGAGTTGGGGAGCAGGATGAATGCCACCAGAGAAGGCCAAAACACACGAAGAAGAGGCCTTAACCTGCATCCTTGGTTTCTGGCTGATCCCTTTACAGCTCTTGGATCAGTGGGCATTTTATAGCCCTCTTTTTAGCTGGCTTCCCCTCTAAAAGTAGCTCAGAGTTTCAACCCCTGTAGATTCTACCTCCACGGTTCCTCACGAAATTTAATTTGTTCAGATGATGTGGATCTCTCCAAAGCCAGAGACAAGAAGTCTTGAGAGTATTAGAAGGGTGGGGCCCAGCTGACTGGCCTCCTCACTCTGGGTCTTCCAACACTGTTGCCAGCTCTCTCTGTTTTTTGCTAAGAGCCTGGGTATGGAGAAAGAAAAAAACAAGACAAGAGTGATGGAAAAAATAAAATCTTTTCCCTCCATGGGCCTCTACTCTGGACTTGGATTTATACTAGACAGCAAAGGTAGGATCTTCTGCTTCATCTTCACTGAAGGCCCAATAGGAAAAAAAAATCATGGTAGATGTCTATGACCACTTATTGTAAACCACACTTAAATCACAAATCCCTTCTACAGCATTTCTGAAGCAGCCTATTCCCCTTTTGGACAGTGTTAGTACTTAGGAAGTTTTTCCTTAGACATGTTACCCTGTAACTTCTCCATATTGATTCTCTTTCTGCCCTAGCATGAACAAGCCTCTTCCACAGGACAGCCTTTTAAATATTTTAAAACAAGGATCATGTCCCCACTAAGTCTTCTCTTCTCTAAGAATCCCTGATTCCTTTCAGTGACATTCTGGAGACCTGGTGTGATCACCGCATCTTGGTCCCCTTTCTCAAGACATATGGCTTTGTTGTTGTGCAGTCGTGTCTGACTCTTTGTGACCCCATGGACCATAGCACACGAGGCCCTTCTATCCTCCACTATCTCTCCAAGTCTGTCCAAGTTCATGTTCATTGTCTCTGATATTATCCAACCATGTCATCATCTGCTGTCCCCTTTTTCTTCTGCCTTCAATCTTTCCCAACATCTGGACCTTTTCCAATCATTCCTGTCTTCTCATTATGTGGCCAAAGTATTTAAGCTTCAGCTTCAGTATTTGACCTTCCACTGAATAGTGTGAATTAATTTCTTTAAATATTGACTGATTTGACCTCCTTGCTGTCTCAAAAGCTGACTCTCAAAAGTCTTCTCCAGCACAATTCAAAAGCGCTGATTCTGCAGCACTCAGCTTTCCTTATAGCCCAACTCTCACAACCTTTCTAGCCTAAGACACTATTCTTTACTGGAAAAAGCACAGCTTTGACTATAAGCCAGCTTTGCTGGCAAGGTGATGGCTCTGATTTTTAGTATACTGCCCAGATTTGCCAGTTTTCCTTCTAAGGAGCAAGCATCTTTTAATTTCATGACCACAGTCTCAATCTGCAGTGATCTTGAGCCCAAAAATATAAAATCTGACACTGCTTCCATTTCCTCTTTCTCTATTTGCCAGGAAGTGATGGTACCAGTTGCCAAGATCCTAGTTTTTTCAAGCCAGCTTTTACACTCTCCTCTTTCAAGAGGCTAATTCTTCTTCACTTTCTGCTATCAGAGTGGTATCATCTGCATATCTGAGATTGTTGCTATTTCTCCCAACAACCTTAATTCCAGCTTTTGGTTCATCTAGCCTGGCATTTTGCATGATGTACTCTGCATATAAGGTAAATAAATAAGGTGATAATATACAGCCTTGTTATACTCCTTTTCCAATCTTAAATCAATTGTTACATGTCTGGGTTCTAACTATTTCTTTTTGACCTGTATACAGGTTCCTCAGGAGACAAGTAAGATGATCTGGTACTCTCATCTCTTTGAAGACTTGCCACGTTTTGTTGTGATCCACACTTTAGTGTAATCAATGAAGTAGAAGCACAGGTTTTTCTGGAGCTCCCTTGCTTTCTCCATAATCCAGAAAATGTTGGTGATTCAGCCTCTAATTGCTCTGCTCTTCCCCAGTAGTGTATCGGACACCTTCCAACCTGAGGGGCTCATTTTCTAATGTCATCTCTTTCATCATTTTCGTACTGTTTATGTACCTTTGTAACCCTGCATGGCATAGCTCATAGTTTCATTGAGCTATGCAAGCCCCTCCACTAGGACAACGCAATTATGGGGGAGGGGGAGGGGCCCAGAGAGGGAAACAACAGAGGAAGAAGACAAAGTGATGTCTGAGCAGGATGGTGTTTAGAAGGACTCTCACCCTCCTACCCCATCTTGGACTTTGGTAAACATTTTGGCTGCCATATCCCAACACTAACTCATTCCTGAACTCACAGTGCACAAAATCCCCATGTCTTCTCATATGATCTTTTTCCTAGTCACCTCTTCATCCTCAACTTGGGCAGCTGTTTTTTTTTTAAAATACTACTGTAGGATATTAATCTACAATATAGAGAAGCACGTGAATGTAATGGAATTTTTCTGAGCTGTAAAAAATTATGAATCCAAAAAATTTAGAAAAAAGAATGGGAAGGCCTATATGAACATATGCAAAATGAAGAAAGGAAAACCAGGAAAACAATACACACCATGACTAAGACCATTCAGATGAACAACACGAAACTGAACTCTGTAATTAAAATGAAAGAGCCTGGCCCCAGAGAAGAGTTTTTAAAAATGCAATACTGCATATAAATAAAAAAGGAACTGTTTTCTTTTTCTTTTTTTACTTTGTGACTCAAGGTGGGAGTTGGGGGGGATACATTTCGAAATTAATGTGATGCAAAAACAAAAATAAAAATGATTTCATAGAGTCACAGAACTGTTCAGAGTCAGAAGGGCCCTCAGAGGCTATTTAGTCCAAACCAGATCTGAGAAAGAATCCCTTCTATCACCTATCCAGCCTTTGCTTGAAGACCTCCAGTGAATGGGACCCCCTCACCTCCAAAGGCAGCTCATTCCACTTTTGGACAGCTCTATCTGATAGGACGTATTTTCTTACATCAAGCTTGGATCTGCCTCTTTGCAACTTCTACCCACTGCTCCTCATTCTGTCCTCTTGGATCAAGCAGAATAAATCCACAGAATCCCTCTGGCAGATGACGGCCCTTCCGATACTTGAAGACAACTATTAAGTCTCTAGGCTAAATATTCCTACTTTCTTCAGCTAATCTTCATATGACATAAGTCTGGCTGCCTTCCCCTGGACACTGCATTTTGCCAATGCTTCCCAGAATGTGATGTCCATGAACACAATACAGTGTTAGATTATAGTGGGACTCTCACCTTTCTAGTCTAAGACACTATGATTCTTTTTTTTTTCTTTTTTGTGAGGCACTCGGGGGTTAAGTGACTTGCTCAGGGTCACACAGCTAGTAAGTGTCAAGTGTTTGAGGCCGCATTTGAACTCAGGTCCTCCTGACTCCAAGGTCACAGCTCTATCCACTGCCCCCCCCAGCTGCTTCCCAACATGATTCTTAATAATTGCAGAAGTACTGCTGGTTTTTTTTAATGGGCAATAGAGACTCTATTCTTGGGTTCAGTGTGCCCCCAACCAGAACAGATTCTACCCACAGTCTAAGCAAATCGCCAAAACTTTTTAAAAACCATTTAATTTTGCCACACTAAGAAAATAGGAAAACATACATTAAAATCATATTCTTTTTGGGAGTCAATTTTTTTTAAGGCAATTGGGGTTAAGTGACTTGCCCAGGGTAACACAGCTAGGAAGTGTCAAATGTTTGGTCTGAGGCCAGATTTGAACTCAGGTCCTCCTGACTTCAGGACCGGTGCTCTATCTACTGCACCACCTAGCTGCTAGGGGGTCAATTCTAAATTAATTTTTTTCAATTAGCAAAAACCTGCCTTTTTTCCCTCTCAAACCCCTCCCCACTGAAAAAGCAAGAAAAACAAAACATCTCCCACCCTGTAGCATTATTCTTAGTTTTGTTGGGTATGTTATTCTTGGTTGTAAGCTTAAATCCTTTCCCTTCTGGAATATCATATTCTGAGTTCTTTGCTTCTTTAGGGTTGTAACTTCTTAATCTTGTGTG